AGAAGGCTGGGAGGATTTGAATGACCTCGTCCGTAGGTTAAGCGTAGTTTCCATGTGTAAATCGACTTTTCTATATCCTTTTCCATAGTATCTCTTGTTTCTATGCTAATCATATTTACTCACATTTAATCCACATTACTTCCCTTCTGCATGTAGTTATTAATAAAACAGTATAATCCATTTATGTGTGCTTTATAGGGAAAATGTAGTACCGCTCATATATCGCAGAGCCGCCGGGATGGCTCATTGCAGGCCTCGATTAGGCACGCGCCCGCCGCCTCGAGGGAACACGACGCTGGACGAGCAACCCGGCGTACTGCGAAGGCAGTGCTAGACCGTAGGAGAACGGTGCAGCCCAGGCCTACAATGTCCATGTGGCAAATGGACACGACATAGCGAGCGGACAGGAGACCCCGGTAACTTAGCTCTTGCCGCTGGGGTCGCCCTGCCGACCAACAGTGATGTCTTTCTTTGCAAGCAACTTTTCTGCTACGGAGCTCACCGGAAGCCATTTTTCAGATGAATTCACATCACTCACGCTACCACAATACACACTCCCATTATAAAAATATATGAAATGTAAATGAAAGCTTTCGAAGCGACAGAAAACGTGTACGAACTGAAGGAATTCTGTCAGTACGACAACGGATCTGCACTATGTTATTTTTCTGAATTTTTAACCTTTTTGGTTAAAAAACACAAGGAAAGCTACTGTGAGAAAGGGTAGTGATAGAAGTGTGCACGCAATAGAGAGCATTCGCACACTCATAAAAGAGGAGCAGTTGAGTAAGGAACAACGGCAAAAGAAGGAATGAAACGGGAAATTGAAACTGAAAATAAGCAACCAAGCATATTTAAGCTTGTATGTCGTTTTACTAAAGCAAACATTTTGGGTCCCCTTTAAAATGGATTTTTCGAAAACGATTACTTTCCTAATTCGGCTGAAATTAGGTGGTCATAGTTAAAGAAATAATGCACTGTGGCTAAGCCAGGCCTCGTATAGGAACCTGTCTGAAATCTTCCTTAGGCGCAACTTCCTCCGTTTCTTCTCTCCTTTTAAGCTTGTTATGATGGACACAATCAGTAGATTCGGATAGGGAACGGCTGTGTCACATTCTGCTCACTGGCCTATGTCACTTTCATCCATAAAGTTTATCCGAGAGTAATTAATTAAGCAGATTTTTGGGCGCTCTAATGTAGACGGATCTCCACCTATACAATAATCCTACTTATATAATCGGCTAAGTGTGTCTGTTGGTGTGTCTGTGTGTGTGTGTTTGTGTGTGTGTTTGTCTGACCGGAAATTCATAACTCCTGTTTCACTGGACCTAGGGCATTCAAATTTGAAGAAGAGATAGGGGGCAGGATGGGATCACTGATGGCAGGTAATAGGAAGTGACAACTATCGATAGAAACTGATAAGGAGCC